CCAAATCATCATAGTTTCTTTTAGTTGGAACTTCTAGTTTTAGTGTAGGATTTTGACATTTTTATTTCTGTACCAGCAAACAGTTTTTGTTTCCCAAAAGGAATCATGATGTCTTTGTATGGGATTGCAAAGCTTTTTACTAGTTCCTATTTATGGTGAATGATTTTTTTTTTGGAATGCAAGACCTTTCTTGTAATGTATATTCCAACGGGCTATGCTTGTTTTGCACTGATAATCAGCTGCTTACATTTGGTCGGACCTTTATTATCAGGATAACAAGGGTCGAATAACTGGTGAGTCGAATAGCCTTCGGCTCTACTTTCCTTTGGTTTATTTTTGGTTGTAATTGTAACATGTTTTGTGTTTTCATATTTTTCCCATTTTCTCAGTTTCGAAGAAAAGTCAGAAAGAGGCAAACATTTTGGTTCTGAAAAGTTCCGGCGGGAAACAAAGTGACATGCATAACCAGGGAAATCCCAATACATCTTCAAAATTAGAATCTGACCTCACAAATCAGTGGAGATCACTCTTTCTGAACATGGAGGATATATGTGTTCATGAAAGCAACCAGCTCGTAAGTCTCTTCTCTTCTTTTTTAGCCTGGATTTTATTTCCCACGCCTTAGTATTAGTGGCCTATTTTCCACGCTAAATGGAAGTACTTTTCTGGTTAAGATACTTACCATCTGATTAAATTTGATTGCCAATTTTCAATGTCAACAAAGGATTTTACATTATGTGACTGACACAAAATGAACTTGTGTTGCAGCAAGCCAGTTACATTGAACTAATATATCTGAGGAACAAATGCAAGATCGATCTAGAGCAGATAACGGGGATGCCTTCAGAGAGATAGAAAGGAGCGTGCTTGCAATGCTTCTTATGAATGTAAGATCTTCTTGCTTCTCCAGATTCCAGAATTTTGTATTTGTATGTTTCCACATGCATTTGCCTATAACAAATTCTAGGTTCTTTCGTGAATTCATAATGTGTTGTCAAAAACAATAAAATGTATGATCTCAGTTTGTAGTGCCTTTTTTTTCCTATTATATGCTCAATTTCTCTCATTGTGGTGAACCTCCTATTAGACCCGTTAAACCTGGCTTGAATTACTAATTTAAATAATAAAATTATGATTTTTATTTAAATTTAATTTTTTTTAAGTAATAAAATGAGTTATTCCAATTGAGTATAAAATCTAAAACTAATGCAGCTTCGAATTTGTATTTGTTAGGTTCCTCTATTATAGAGAATGCATATTTACAAATGCTTTACTTGATTCTTTTTATTTGTATATATATTAAATTGATTTATTTAATAGAAAAGGATTAATTTATGTTTATTTCCCTAATTGAGATACTACATTAATCCAAGTAATAGTAGATTAAATTGGTATAATCCATATTGAAAGGCATTCTCACCAATGAACGCACACATAAAATGCCAAATATTATTCTAAAAGTATCAAAATTTGGCTTTGAAATCCGTTCAACAAAGAAAACATTTTTTTTCCATTTTCCGATCATAAATAATGTTTTATGCTCCATGCCGAAACCTACTCTTCTTAATTCCCTTGGCATCTGATTTCCTTTGTTGTATCCCTGCGAGTTGCTTCTTTTCTATTTATTTATTTTATATTCGATTTGTGTTTGATTCAACTTTTGTAATCATCTCTTCTTTTCTAATTCATTTTTGTGAGTGCCTTCGAGCATCGAACAAATCTTGTTTCGTCTTTTCATTATCCGGTGTTTCATTCTTCTTGAGTAGTCTTCGAGCTTCGGACAAGACTCGTTTCATATCTTCGTTGTCCGATGTTTCTTTTTTCTTGACTTGCCTATAAGGCTTGGGCAAGCTGGGTGTTTCCTTTTTCTTGACTTGCCTTCGACCCTCCAACAAGCTTTGTTTCAACTCCTTGTATGTCTCACTTTTCTTGAGTTGTATTCGCGCCTCTAACAAATCTTGTTTTGCCTCTTCTTTTTTCGGTGTTTCGGGTATATTGAGTTGCCTTCGAGCCTCGGACAAGCCTTGTTTCACCTCTTCATTATTCGGAATCTCTTTTCTTAACATCTCATAATCTTCTAATGAAGCTTTCCATCTTCCCAACTGTTTACGTATAAATCCATTACAACATTATACATTAGGTTATTTTTCTTACTATATCATACTTTATGCTGTGTTGCGTAATGGTGTAGCATCAATGCTAACCTTGGAATTGCATGTAAAACATGGAAGCAAGTTAAATATAAAGTCTGACCTTGGAATTGCATTCGGCTCTTTTGAGTCTAGCTTCTGTATAGCCAGGGCGGACACTAAGGGCATGGGTGCAGTCCCCTATCGCAAGTTCGATCTGGTCGAGATTGGCGTAGCAGACCGCTCGACTGAGCAACAAGACAGAGTTGTGCGGGTCATGCCGCAGCCCCTCACCATATGTGATACATGCATCGTAGAAATTAGATGCCTTGAAATGCTCATCTCCGATCATTTTAGCCATGGCCAGTGCTCTAGCTTTGCTCATTGCACTGCTTGTTTCTTTGCTTTTCGAGTCTAGCCTAACTGCTCGCTCAGTAGCAGCCACCGCATCATCAAATCTGCCGAAAGCCATATCAACCTGAGCTTGAACGACCAACATAATTGCTTTACAGATAGGGCCAAAGCATTTAATGAAGTCATAATCACTTAATTTCGGCCCTGCTAACAATGCTTCATTCGCCTCTTGGTGTCTATGGAGCTTCATCAAAGCTTCGGCTTTCAGTGCATACATCTTCACAAAAACAAAAAACCCAAGCTCTAGATTATAAAATTAAAGATCAAAAATACTAAATTTGTATGGGGTTGGAGGATTTTTTTACGCACATGTGGAGCTGAATCTGCTCCGGCTTTGATGGCGGAATCCGTTTCCTTTAGCAATGCGTTCCAGTTTCGTTGCATTTTCGCTTCGGTGCATTTGTTTACATGTTGTTGAAGAGTTTTGGCTCTAGACATGTCATCATTGCCGGCCTCGGTGCCTGCACGTTTGAAATGATACATCGCGTTTTCCACTTCCCCTAATCTGTATTTTAAAGACGAATTTAATATATTTTAGAATTATCAATAGAAAAAATATATAATAATTTGGTTTGTTGGATTCATTTACCTGATGTATAAACTTGCTAGACGATGGTGAGCACGAAGATAACGAGGTTCAAGACGAATGGCTTCTTTGCACTCAAAGAGAGCCTCAAAAAAACCTTCCCGCGCCTTCTAAAGCTGCACTTATATCGGTTCGATACGAAGCTTTGAACGGTTCAATGGCGATGGCAGCTTCGTACAAATTCAAAGCTTCCCCGAATTTGCCGTGCTTAAATTCTTCGTCCCCCAAGAATTTCAACGTTTCGGGGCTCCTTCTCTTCGACAAAGCTCTGCACAGAGAACCCGGTTCACCCTTTTCTTCAACCTCCTTCCTCTCTTTTTTATTTCCTCCGATGGCCGGTTGCCTCAAGTTGCCTAAATGGCCGTACATCATGAAATTCCCCGACGATGCCCGGACCAGGGAGCCTCTGCTTTTTACCTTTTGATAATCCTCGATCATGCTTTCGAGCTCGCTGGAGATGCTAACGGCTTCTTGGGGCACCTTTCTTTGGGTCACCGTTGTAATTATTCTGGTCGATTCCACCGGCGCCGGCACCGGTTTATAAACCTGGTGTTGCTGTTGATGTACGACAATGAATTTCGAGTGACTCTGCGGCGATTTCATGAACGAACTGCCGTCGGAACTATGGTATGAACCGCTCCGCCGCTGCCATGAATTCCAGCTGGAAGTTCTAACGTAGTTTCTGCTGTTGTTTTCCTTTGGCAATGAACGCGATGAAATAGGCTTTCTTCTGGGCCAAAATCTACACCTTCCGAAAAATGAACCCCATAACCCCCCGCCCGATTTCGATTTCTTTTCATATGCCCCCATAATTTTCTTCTCAGACTGCAGTTTTCGTCCTTATTGATAAAATGGTGTATTTTCCACACAGACAAACAGATAAAACATGGGTTTTCTCTGAAATTTGTGGAAGAATACACACAAAACAGTTTAGAGATGAGAAGAAAATTGCGGGGAAGGGCTGGAAGCTGGCGTGGTTTTCGTGAGTGGCTGCCAAGAAAGAAAATTATGGCTTGCTTGGGTTAAATAGAAGAATTTTCCGGGGGAAAGATGTAACGATTTTACAGTTGTATTTGTTCATCTTTTTTTTTTGGGTGCAAATAGCTAAAGCTGAAGACATCTTTGTTATTGGATTCTAAACTAATATATTTTAAAATTTATAATTTCGATTCAATATTTAAATAGACATTAAATATGTTACGCCTAATATTTTCTAAAAATACATATTTAATGTGTGTTTAATATTATTATATAGTTGTATAGATGTTAATTGGACGAGGTAGGTGAGAGAGTTCTTTTTTTATCTTCATTCATTACACTTAATTTGTTTTCTGTTATATTATTGTACTTATTATTATTCTTTTAAAACAATAATAAATTATTTATGATTCTTTAATTGGTAAGCTAAGATATATTTTCAATACAAGTTTAAAAAAATTAAAAAATAATATTCTTACGTAACATTTAAATACAAATAATGATACGAGACAAAATAAAGATAATGCGCTGTGAGACGGGTATAAGGTCATACTCACATGTAAGTGCATGTCAACTTGCAACCATGTTCAAAAGAATTTGATCCAAGACAATTATTTTGACGTCTAAACCTAAGACGGACGAGATCCCATCGTATCCCAAACTTCTTGCTGCAGCCCTTACATTCTGTCATAAAAAGCAAAACTAAGAACCCAGATCTGTCCAATCAGAACATAGCACCTGTCAAACCAAGATTGGCCCCACCTATTCTTCAAAACCTTTCCACTTGTACATAGTTTGTATTACACCATAATATTTCCCCCACCAAGTCAACTTGCAAACTCCTTCATTCAAGAACAAACAAAGCAAATAAAAAAAAATATAGAATCTTAAAATATAACAATGGTTGCATACTTTCTCTGTTTTCTAATCATCTGTTCCCCCCCCTTAGTTTCATTTAGCTTTTGACAATGAAATCGGAGACTCTAACGTTAGTTCTGGTGAATTTAGCTGGAATAATGGAGCGAGCCGACGAGTCATTATTGCCTAGTGTTTACAAAGAAGTTGGCGCCGATTTACATACGGATCCGACAGGGCTTGGCTCCCTCACTCTGTATCGATCCATAGTCCAATCTTGTTGTTACCCATTAGCTGCTTATCTTGCTATGCACCACAACCGTGCTCATGTGATTGCACTCGGTGCTTTCCTTTGGGCTGCTGCAACATTTCTCGTCGCCGTTTCCACCACTTTCTTCCAGGTTTTTTACTGAACCTTTTTGTGCTTTCCTTTGTTTGTTTCTTCCAGGTTTTTTTTTAATGATTTTGGAATGGGGGCAAACTTAGGTTAGGTAAAATTGGAGAACTATTATGCCTGATGATGTAGCAGGAATTCTCTTCTTTGGCTAATTAGGTTGCAGTTTCAAGAGGCTTGAATGGGATTGGCCTTGCAATCGTCATACCGGCCATTCAGTCCCTTGTTGCCGATTAGACCGATGATAGTAATCGCGGTATGGCCTTTGGATGGCTTCAACTGACCGGAAATATCGGCTCGATCCTAGGTGGCCTTTGTGCGGTCCTTATTGCACCAAGAACTATCATGGGGATACCTGGTTGGAGATTTTCATTCCATCTGGTTTGGATAGTTAGTGTCGTAGTTGGTGTTTTGGTCCGTCTTTTTGCTAAGGATCCACGATATTCGGGTCGTGATAATGTAGACGAAGAACATGGTGGACATAAGTCGTTTTCGTCACAGGTGAAGGATATGATGAATGAAGCAAAGTCAGTTATGAGAATCCCAACTTTTCAAGTCATTGTTGCTCAAGGTGTTTCAGGATCGTTTGCAGGGTCTGCTTTGTCATTTGCTCCGATGTGGCTCGAACTAATTGGCTTCTCCCACGAGACAACGGCAATGATCATGACACTTTTCGTGATTTCGGGTTCACTTGGTGGTCTCTTTGGAGGACGGTTGGGAGATATTCTCGCGAGACGCTTCCCAAATTCTGGAAGAATTATTCTGTCGCAGATAAGTGCCGGTTCTGCTATCCCAATAGCTGCGGTATTGATGCTGGCATTACCTGATGATCCCTCCACTGCAATTATGCACGGTCTGGTTTTTTTCATCCTGGGATTATGGATGTCATGGAATGCTCCTGCAACCAACAAGTATGTATTCTTAGACCATCTTATATTTCCTCACTGGTTTCAAACTTAGTTAGCTCGAATTAATGTTTAGATATTGTTAGCTCGATTAACTAAGACATACTTTGCTCGAATTAACTTAGACATACATTGTTAGTCCTATATTTGCAGAGATCGTACCGGAGAAATCCCGAACAAGTATCTATGCCTTGGATAATTCTTTTGAGTCTATACTGGCATCTTTTGCTCCTCCTATTGTTGGGATTTTGGCTCAGTGTCTTTACGGTTATAAACCGATACCCGAAGGATCATCGGACTCTATCGAGATCGAAACAGATAGAGAGAATGCTGCATCACTTGCTAAGGCATTGTACTCGGCATTTGCGATTCCATTGGCAGTCTGTTGCTTCATTTACTCATTCCTCTATTGCACGTATCCGAGAGACCGGGAGAGAGCACGGATGGAAGCACTGATAGAATCTGAAATGCATCAACCGGAGCAGAATGATTCTTCTTCAAATTGCGAAAAACACATATTTCGTGTCACGAACTCGAAAGAGCTCGATAACGCTGAAAGAGGTGAAACATTTATAAAATTCGGAGGGGAGAAGACCCTCGATTTCGATGACAACGACGACAAGAAGTCCCTTCTACATCATCAACAATCATCATCACCAGCTTGAAGGCTTCAACAACTTGGTTTCTTCCACTCAGAAAAAAAACTCCTTAACTTTTGATGTTAACCGAATAATCGAGGATCAAAATGACTATGTTTATTCATTAGTCTCATAATCTACATGATGATCATATTAATTCTGCATCTTGATCTTATTCATTTGCAACTCCGATGCATATGCAGCATGAAAGCTTTAAGAGCTCAAAGTTGATTTAACGACTACAGATTGGTTTAGCTACACTAAATTTTAGACCTCTTAAATAAAGTGAGAGTTCAAATCTTATTATTTCATGAATGGAATAGATCAAATCAAAAAAATCATTTCTTAATATATCCCTACAATATTAAATCGGGATTAATTGATCACGCTGTTTTGATGTCTAAACTTAAGACAGACAGATGAGATTCAATCATATCCCAAACTTCTTGCAGAAACTCTTTTTCAATCTGTTCTAGTGAACCTACATTGGAGCGAGCCGACTGCCTGGTGTTTACAAAGAAGTTGGCCCAGCTTTGCATACGGATCCGACAGGACTCGGCTCGCTCACTCTGTTTCGATCGATCGTTCAATCTGCTTGTTATCCATTGGCTGCTTATCATTCTATGCACCACAACCGCGCTAATGTGATTGCACTCGGTGCTTTCCTTTGGGCTGCTGCTACGTTTCTGGTCGCCATTTCCACCACTTTCCTCCAGGTTACCTGTGTACCATTATTTCGTTTATCTCGTCCCCTTTGTTTTAAATGATTTGGTGGTTTACTCTCCCATTTTTTTTCTCTATGGAATCTATGAATGATTTAGTTTATTTTAATGGATGTTTAAGCAGATCTAATGTTTTTTGTAAAATGTGATTATTTTCTTTTCTTTAACTTTATAATATATTCAAATGCATAATCTAGTAACATTTCTCTTATTTGGCTAATTAGGTTGAAATTCAAGAGGTTTGAATGGGGTTGGACTTGCGATTGCCATACCGGCCATTCAATCCCTTGTTGCTGATTCAACCGATGATAGTAACCGTGGTGTGGCTTTCGGGTGGCTTCAACTGACTTCGAACATCGGCTCGATCCTAGGCGGCCTTTGTTCAGTCCTTATTGCCTCAAAAACTATCACGGGGATACCTGGCTGGCGTTTTGCATTCCATCTGGTTTGGGTAATTAGCGTTGTAGTTGGCATTTTGGTCCATCTTTTCGCCAAGGATCCGTAATGCTCGGACCGTGATAATGTAGCCAAAGAACACGTTGGTCATAAGTCTTTTTCATCACTGGTGAAGGACATGATAGATGAAGCGAAGTCAGTTGTGAGAATCCCAACATTCCAAATCTTTGTTGCTCAAGGTGTTTCAGGAACATTCCCATGATCTGCTTTGTCATTTGCTCCAATGTATCTCGAACTAATCGGCTTCTCCCACGAAACTACGGCGTTTATCATGACAATATTTGTGGTTTCGGGTTCACTTGGTGGTCTCTTTGGAGGAAAGATGGGAGATATTCTAGCAGAACGCTTCCCGAATTCTGGAAGAATTATTCTGTCACAGATAAGCTCAGGTTCTGCTATCCCAATAGCTGCAGTTTTGCTGCTGGCATTACCTGATGATCCCTCCACTGCATTTATGCATGGTCTAGTTTTTTTCATCATGGGATTTTGCATATCCTGGAATGGTCCAGCAACCAACGAGTATGTATTCTTCGTCTTCAATAAACTAACTTGGCAATAATTTCGATCGACTTAAGACATAGCTCTAACTACTCAAATTATTGTTCAAAATCAGGATAGTATTTGGACATAAAATGAAAGGACTTGGTTTAGGTTCCCAACTCATTTAGATGCACTTAATCATATTAGTTCAGTGCCTATATCTGGCACGTATCTCAGTTTTCGTAGTTGTAATATGAGGATTGAGGACCGTCTAAAAACTAGAATTTTGCGATCCGCAATTCGGTCTAGCATGCGAACGCTCAGTGCTGCAATGTTCTAAGGCTTAGCTTAGACGTCAACTGATGCATGCATTGGCTATATAATTTTGATTGTCTATAAATTCGAGATTGTATCTGCATTTTTGTTGGCATTATTTGCTAAATGAATTGTGTGCACAGTCCAATATTTGCAGAGATTGAACCTGAGAAATCCCGAACAAGCATCTATGCATTGGATCGCTCATTCGAGTCGATACTGGCATCTTTTGCTCCTCCTATAGTGGGGATTTTAGCCCAGCATGTTTATGGTTATAAACCAATACCGAAAGGATCATCAGACTCGATAGAGATCGCGACGGATCGGAAGAATGCTGCATCACTTGCAAAGGCACTTTACACTGCAATCGGGATTCCTGTTACTATCTGTTGCTCGATGTATTCATTCCTCTATTCCACGTATCTGAGGGACAGGGAGAGAGCAAGAATGCAGGCACTGATTGAATCAGAAATGCAACAATTAGAGGAAGATGGCACTTCGTCAAATGGAAGACAATCTGAATTTCATATATCGGACTCAAAGAAGACGAATGGCGACGAAAGGGGTGAATTTCGCAGCATTGATTTAGATGATGATGATAAGAAATCTCTTCTGCATCACCAGATTTGCTTCTCGAACTTGGAACACTGATGAACATGTTACTTATCTGAAGTTTGAGGCAATCCATATCGTTTCCATTTGAAACAAAGTTACAAATGTTTCATTGTGAAACTGCAGTTGTCATTGTGTTGAAAGACATCAAATTCGATCAGATATTTTATAATAGAATAGAAAACAAGAATTCGATTAATTTTGTTTAATTGAACCGAATCGAAGACTTGTATGCATTCAACCCGAATGTTGCAGACACAGATAACGAGAATGCAACATCACTTGCTAAGCCATTGCAATTGGGATTCCAATGGCAAACTGTTGCTTCAATTACACATTACTCTATCGCACGTATCCAAGAGACCAGAACAGAGCACGTATGCAAGCACTGAGAGAATCGAAAATGCAACAATCAGAGGAAAATGATTCTCATCCAAGTTGCAGAAAACCCGTATTACGTTTTGCAAACTCGAAAGTGCCCAATAACGAGTAAAAGAAGTGAAACTTGTATGGAGTTCCGAGTGGAAAAAAGTCTCGATTTTGGCGATAACAACGACACGAAGCCCCTTTACATCATCAGCTTGATTCTCACTTAGAAGGGTTCAATAACTTAGTTTCTTCCAAGAAAAAGACTTTAAATTTTATGAAGATTAAGGATCAAAATGAATATTTTTGTCCACTATTTTAACAATAAGAGGCCAATTTTATGTGTAAACTTTATTTACATATATTTTAGGCTAATAACAGCACCAGCTGCATTATTTGCAGTTCACTGAACCTACCTTTGCTAAGCAAAAACCATAATTTACCAGCTACTGGGGTAACCATGGCGTTTCAAATAATTGCCAAGCAAACATTAAGTCATTGCTGAAGAGGCATACTAGGTTAATCATACGAAGGATCCAAAAACCAATAACGGTTCAGACATCTCCGGCTCCGATCAAGGCAAGAAGCATTCTCTTATAGTCCCCAGAAGTATCTCCAGCAATTGCTTTCTCGAGAGGAACACTGTTCCTACGCTGATATGCTTCCTTGATGCGTACCATGTCTACCTCTGCACGAGTTGCCACGACTCGTATAATAGCTGTATCATCTGATCCGATTCGATTGATGGCTTGACGTAAAACCTTCTCGAAATAGTCCTCGGGGGTAGTCAAGCACTTGATAACATCTCTCATTAATTTGAGGTATTCATCCTTGCTCTCAGGCTTCAGATCCTGCAATCCAGTTTGAATTAGAACATACTCAGAAATATTTGCATATTTTGTAGATGAACCGGACCTTATTGATGGCATTGCCGATTGAAGAATTGTACTGATTGAAAGTTGCATTTAGCTGTGCCCTGCTCCTTGTTGATAGAATCCTGATCACCTCCTCATCATTGTAATGCTTGGTCGAGATCTTTTCACGAAGTATCTTAGCCTCGGATTTCGCCAACGACAAGTTCACCTCGTCGCCCTCATAGCGGAATGCGCTAACAAGAGGGACCAAAAGCTGCATCATGATAGTAATATGAGCAAAGCATTCAAACACGAGAATGACAGAAGCAAGGGAGAAGAAATTTGAGCCGAACCTTGCGGTAATCACCGCTGGTGTGGTGCGCGACGTCTTCCTCGAGGGATTTCTTATATCGAGCATGATAGTACTTCTTGGCGGCGTGTAGCTCCTTTGAAGATCTAGCGCAGGCTACTTCCATGATGATCCAACTGCTTGATGAGGCCTTCTTTGTGGCTTCATTAACCAGATGTGCATCTCGCTCTGCAGGGTCCAGGGTAAACAGCAGCACAACCCGCTGTTGAATGGTGAAACAGAACAAAAATACGGCTAAGTTAAAGAGCTCTCGAAATAAACATCGAAAGGCATGTCGAAATCGGACCTCGAAGTCACGAGTAAGTTCCTTCTCCAAGGCCTTGAGGAGATCTTCCCCATAAGCTTCACTGTAAGCTTTCCTAATCGAAATGCGCTGTGCTGCATTCCTGTAAGCCAATATGTCGATGATCATTTGCTCGTTGGTACCCCAGCCTGCAAAAAGAACATGGAAAACAGTTCATCATCGTGGCCCGTTCTTTCAGTTTAAACAATCATTAACCGGAAGCATCTGTTTACCGTATGATTCAGTATCTATAACTAATCTAAAATGGTCCTGCAATATAAGCATAGAAATGGCAGATAAAAATCCATCGCCGTTTTTTTGAACACAGATTCAGAAAAGATAATGGTCTTGCAATAAGAATATTTAGAGTCTTGATATTTCAAATACACTAAAAGGATTGAAATTAGAAAGTGATGAAGAAAGACCTTCGAAAGCTTTACGAAGCTGCTCAGCGTCCTCAGAAGGAGGAGGAGCATGAGCTGGACATTTAAGGGTTGCCATCGAAACTCTTGCAATTAAATTTCCTTGTTGTCTTTGGTATGGACTTGAACGTTAAGATTAAGAGCATTATATGGAAATCATGTTCTTATTTTCAGCCGAAGATTACAACAACATATTACTATTTTAGTCTACATGCCAAGTTCCTCCACTCATTTTACGATAATTTTACTTGTATCTTTTTTATTTTAACCCTTGTTCAGATTTTGAGCAAAGTATTTCCTTATTAATATCGTGATTCATATATATAACAATTCACACGTGTTTTACTATTAATATGACACGTCTTTAAATAGATTTAAAATATAATAATATTAAAAATAATAATTTATTATAATATAATATCAGATGATATAGGTTATTATTAATTCATGTTGAAAACCTACCACATTATATAAAACTTTTTTTTTCTTGAAGAAAATTAGAATAGGTCTTTCGAAAGTACAGATTTACCCCATATTAATAAAAGAAACTTTATAATAAGTATAGTAAATTACACTCATGACCCTTTATTTATGAAAATATTTTATTATGACTACCGATCTTTCAATTTTATCAATCAAATCATTTAACTATTTAAATATTGTGAATCAAACCAATGCAGTTAAAAATTGTTATAGGTACACATTTGATTCTCATTACTTACACATTCAATCATTTTGGTCTTAATTTTAATTTATTAAATAAATATAATTATCCAATATTAAAGATTAAATTTATTATTATATCAAACTTATATAAAATTAATGAAAAATATTATTAAAGTTTTGATTGGTTGTTCTTAATTGCCCACTTTTAAAATTGAAAGGGAATCAATTGCTACTTTTAGGGTCAAGTTACCCAATTTTAAAATAGAGAGGAAACTAAGAGATTCATTTTCAAATTATTTATTATAAAATTTAGTTTTAATTAATGTTAACAAACTTCAACCCAAATTCGATATCTAATTATTATTATTATTATTTGAATAAAGAGGTTGAATATTAATTTAAATATAAAATGATTGAGCTTGAAATCAAGTATAAAAATTAAGTCAATTTTTGTAATTAGTTGTTATACAATATGTAAAAATTATAGATTTAGTTCATATATTTTAATCTGATAATTATAGTTTTCTTATGTTTTAAATTTTGAAATTGCAGTTATGAATCAAATAATAATAGTAAAATCTATTAAGTCAAATTTTATTATTCATCATTGCATTATGTATAAACTATAAATTTGATTATTATTTTCTAATTTTATCATTTAAATTTTTATTATTTTAATCATACCATTATTTTTTTGTTAGGAAATTTTAAAATTAAAAATATAAAGATTAAAATTGATTAAATTGAAATATAAATATTAAATCCATAATTTAGATATAATACAGGGACTAATGGCATTATTTGTCCTAGTTTTCCTTTTCTTCTTAAATTTGAAAAAATAATTAGAGATATTGACGTTTGAATTGGTTTCTAGAGAGCTTGTTCCTTTCTCAAATTTGGACCAGCGCATTTTATGCCATTAGTAGTTGGGTATCCTCATTGGCATCAATTACATAACTGTATCCATGATTGCATATCTTCATATCTTAATGTAATGCCATCTATTAAAGTTTGCAATTCTGGGATGTAAGTTCAGTTTATGATGGTAAATATCCAAGCGCTAGTTCAGTGCACACATGTATACTATGTTGCTTCGTCTTTTCATTTTCTTTAAAGTACCTGTGTCAGTCACGTATTCGGATATCTGTATAGAGATGTGTTCTTTTAAGAATCCTTCAAAGACAGAAATTCTGGAGTACGTTTGTATACCTGCTGGAGTACGTTTGAACAATTTTCCTTTTCAAACTTTTTTAACTCATGATAATCTTCTGCTTCTTCTTCTTCTTCTTTTCTTTCTGTCGGGAAGTAATTGTAACTTCATCAGTCTTGACATATGAGATAGCCAAGGTACTTTTACTAATAATATGTACTTTTGGTTATTTGAGCATTTAGATTTATGAGATCATTTTTGAATATGTTTACTAGGTTGTATTTGCTATTATTCTCATGGCGAAAGATGGTAGCTCAAAGAAATTGGTGAAAGAATGGACTTTGATGGGTTCACTTACTGCATCCGGTCTTCCTGCCACAATTTATGCACTTCAAAACATTTTGCTGCGGATATCTTATAAGAATCTCGATTCACTTACTTTGTCAATTCAACAGGTACTTTATCCATCATTTTTCTTCTTTAATATTGTCAATTGGTTCGTTTTAAATATAGGAACTTGGTCGATGGTTGTATATTTCACTCACTGTAGCTCACCATATGTTGGTCTCCTTTTGAGTTTCAAATGATTAATTTGTTTAGTAATTTTCTGAATTTGATGGTTCTTATTCTGTTTCCAATGCAAAGTTGTATTATTTCCATAGGAAGCATCATCGTAATATTTTTATTTTAATAATGATATTTGGGATATATGTGAGTTTATTTGGCATAATTTGAGACGTTTCCATGCAGGCAGAGGCAGTCAATTCAACAATTTGGGGCTCTGCTTTTGTTGATCGCGGAAGCTGTTCTTCTAAGCATCGGTGAAGGTTCTAGCAAAGCTACTAGCAGTGGTGACCTCGAGCGAATTCTTTTTTACGGAATTGTCCCAGTTTCAGTTGCTTCTGTTCTTTCCGGTCTGGCTTCTGCTTTATGTCAATGGGCTTCTCAGGCAAGCAGCTTATTTTCTATTTTAAATTAACAAATTATTTAGGCTTGCCTATCTTCTTTCAGTTTCTTAATGTTTTCTTTATTATAGGTCAAGAAGCACTCATCATACTTGATGACTGTAGAAATGTCTATTGTCGGAAGTTTGTGCTTACTGTCTAGTACCTTCAAGTCTCCACCAGATGGAGAAGCTATCAAACGTCATGGATTCTTTTATGGTTGGACTCCACTAACTTTGGTAATTATCTTATTTTGTTTGAAAATTAATTTAGAGAAAATTGGGGATGCTCTTGGGTTTAGGAAGCAGGAAAAGAACAGTGTACGAGTGGGTATGGAACTTTACATGTTAAGACTACATAATTTCTCTATAGTGAATGAATATAATTTTACCTTTTTTGTTGAGGTATCTCCCGTTTTCCCGGAACCCCCAACAACCTGAAGGTAATGTCTTCTTGTGGTGTCTATGTGCGGTTTTAGTCTCGGAATTTTATCTCCCTAAAGAATTTCCTTAAGCTCAAGGACAATGGATCAAGTCCCACAGAGAGCGAATGTTTAATTTCCCTTGGTTGGGTTCCCGTTGCGTCCACCCAATTCAACCGGAGTGAACCACGCCGTGGCTCTCCGCTTAAATCATCCAGGGAGCTGTTCTCAAAACCCTCTTAAGAGTCAGGAGACAAAATCCCGGGACCAAAACCGCAGATTGTTTTGGGTTCTGATCAACAAACAAGAGATCCCTCAACAATAAAAGTCGTCGATACTTTTATGTTTTAACTTGCATGGTACATGCAAACTGAAGTTTAAACAAGACTTTTTTTCTTGCCTTTTCAGATTCCAGTTGCAACCAATGCTCTTGGCGGGATTCTTGTTGGCCTTATCACCAGCCTTGCAGGTGGTGTGACAAAGGTAAGCCTAACTACATCAAATTAATACAGTGAAAACTCAGAATGAGGCATTGAAGGGGGACATTGATGATTAAATAGGTGCATGTTGATACGGGGGCTGTTTAATTGCATCCAGCGTAAATCATCAAGTAAACAAAATAATGAGTTTCAAGTCATCGACGTTGCTTAATTTTACTAGTCCATGCATTGAAACCAAAGAGGGATGAAGGTTAATGTAGGCACTGATGCAGAGATGAAACTTATCCCCTTCTATGTATCCAAATTCTAAGAACATAGATTTCGAAAGATCGTTTTCAAGAGATCTTTAAAAGTGAAATTCACTCTTCACTTTACTGTTTGAATTTAGTTTCTATACCACATACCATTTTCTCAAGAATACTTACGATGGTAAATTTCTCTCAAATGCAAGCAGGGTTTTGTCATTGTTTCAGCACTTCCTGTAACGGCGATGCTGCAGTTCCTTTTTGAAGGAAAACCACCATCGACGTTTAGTCTCATGGCTCTTCCGCTTGTTATCAATAGCGTTTCGATATACCAGAAATATCCCTACCGAGTAAAAAATAAGGAAGCCTAATAACACCTGCAGGCAGGTAAGGAGATTTCTCAGAGTGACCCCAATTATTATAGTTTCCATTCGTTTTTCCCAAGTTTTAATGGGAGGGTTAACAGGAATTTTAAGAAACATGCAAATGAAGAGGACATATTATATGTGCTTAAAATTGGGAATATAAAGAAGCAAACGCTTTGATGTAAGTCTGACCTCTTGGAACAGTGCAAAATTGTATGAGTTAAAGTTCACAGTAACCGTTGCGTTAATGCCGTTGTCTTCCAAAATAATTTAATGTAGGATATACAAACTGGCAATAATCACATCATTGGATGCTTTATCGATCGTTAAAAACACCATCCCAGTCTCATCTTCATCGGATATCTCCGACGGCAAACTCCGATCAAACAATTTGACACTGCCAAAGGATCCTAAGACACTTCTACATCGATGATGCACAAAACATCCAATGACAGTTTCTATAACACAACATTTCAGACGAAAGCAAAGTAAATTGTTATCTATTTTAATAACGAAAGCCTAGACTGTTGCATTAATTATTTTTATATTGTGATAAAATATTTTAAAACCCGTGTAATAATTAAATCGTTTCATTATGTTACTTAGTAAGCTGGGAAAGTATTTATCATTTAGCCTGTAATAATTTTTTAATATATATAAAAAAAACAATATAAGCGTATAACTGAACTCAAAATCAAAAGGGGTAAACTGAACGACAGGAAAATGTAGGGGATAAAATTGGAAAGGAGAGAGCAGTTCGAAGATTTTGACTCTCGATAGTTGGCGGTTTCTCATGCTCACTATATAATGGATTAAAGTCGAAGCTTTCCCTCATTTTCTTCTCTCTTTTCAGAATTTTCATTTCCCTTTCATCCGAAATAGTAATAATAATTTTATTTTTATTTTTTTCTTCGACATTCAGATCTAAAACTCTCGTTCATACAATCAAAAAAAGAGAAGTTGAAAAAATGGCGACAGTGTCTCCTCTGACGAAATACAAGCTGGTATTTTTTGGCGAGCAATCCGTCGGCAAAACCAGCATTATCACCCGTTTCATGTACGATAAATTCGACACCACTTATCAGGTCAATTTTTTGATTCGTTTTTTTAATGTTTTTCTGATTAAGGTTTTAACGTTTCTTAAATCCATCTGTTTCGCGCGTACTTTTGTTCTGTATTCGATTCATTGCATCTCTGTTAGATGATCAGGAGTATTAGTCACGGATTAAAATATCGTTGTTGTTTCTTAATTGATCTTGGCCAAAATGATTTTAGTTTTAAAAATGCTTGATATTTAGGGTACAGGGAATTATGAATTTTGTATGATTAATTTAGATTTTGAATAGATAGTTTGTAAGCATATTTTCTTGAACAAGAGGAATTATCTCATGATTTCTTGATAAAAATCAATTGCAGGCCACAATAGGAATTGATTTTTTGTCAAAAACTTTGTATCTTGAAGATCGGACGGTTCGATTGCAGCTTTGGTAATATGCTATCTTCCTCCGTACCCATTCTTTTCTGAACAATGTAGCCTTGGATATCTCTGGTTAGCGCTAATTTTACTAAGCTTCGGTCCATTTTGATAAATGTTGAATGATTGTAAGCACATTTGTTTTCATCTTATAACTTCTTAGATTTTAGTCAATAAATTAGCTCCAAATAGAGCTTAAATATTTGTTGTCACTTGTCAGCGATGAATGTTAGAAGTAGTGGACAACTTTTGGAAATAAGAGCTAGTTCATTTCTGTTGTGTACTTCATCCTCTTTAAAAATAACTTTCGGTGTTCATGATGCATATACTTCTCAATTTTCCAGTTATCTTGTCTCTGTTTGAGCTTTATGTTATGATTTCACAGGGATACTGCAGGGCAGGAGAGATTTAGGAGTCTTACTCCAAGTTATATCAGAGATTCTTCTGCTGCAGTAATTGCTTATGATGTAGCTTGTGAGTATCAGCCAACCTAAGTACTTTATATTACACATACATAATTATTATGTTTTGCTAATCGAACACTCCCTTGATAACCATTATCATTAGTTCGACGTAGCGTTAACCTTACATTCGCATCCCTTACTTGGATTTATCTATTTGCAGATAGAAAATCATTTATGAATACTTCAAAGTGGTTTGAAGAGGTACGAACAGAACGTGGCAGTGATGTCATTATTGTCCTCGTTGGGAACAAAACTGATCTCGTTGATAAAAGGTTAGTGATAAGTAGGAAATACAATTGAACGTTTTAGATTGGGTTTCCATTTAACTGGAGTTTACCGATCATATTTTCCTGCGCTTATTTGACTGCACAGGCAGGTTTCTAGAGGAAGGAGATAACAAGGCTAAAGAATTTGAAGTCATGTTCATAGAAACCAGTGCAAAAGCAGGATTCAATAACAAGGTGAAAAATATAAACACGTGCGCCTGTGTGTGTATATAACAATTGCATCCAATTATAGATATGGAATTAAAAATAACTATGCATATTTTATCCGTATTCCATAGACATTTGATAGGCGATACTTAACCTCACTCGTAGGATTACATGTATGTGTTGTTGATCTACTATTTGTACAAATGCCGCGGTTCTTGGAAAATCACCTGACGGCGGGTACCTCTCCAGCAGAGAGGAGGCAAATTGGATTTGGGTGAAACTTTAGATCTGACCTTTCAAATTTAACCTTTATTGCGTAATGTCTCGCCACTCGTGATTAAAAAAAATTAAGAATCCTTGACCAATGCAAAATAAAATAATTGAAAATGATCTGTCATATTCTGTATCGATGAAAACTAAGAATGATAATTGCAGATCAATAATTACACATCGGCATTGTTAATGATCAAAATTTAAGTTTTTATAAGTTTATAAATTATTTTATGATTTTTTATGGATAAATTTATTAATTATTTTGTAATATTTTAAAAATTAAATGATTAAACAACTCATGGGTTGCCAGGTTGGTGGCTAAATGTGTTGCCAAATTATAAGTCAAAAGCAAAATTAAACAAGAACCCAAGTTCAACCACGCAACATTTTAGACGGTCAGGATCTGAGATTCACATGCATCAATCTCAGCGTACATTCCGAGTGTTTCTAACTTGCTTCCTCGTGACTTTTTTCAAAGTTCAATGATAAATAAAAAGGATAAAAGCCTTTATCTGTTTGTCTTACTCCAACCCTTATCAAAACTTTCAGTTCCCCAGAAACAAAATATGTCGAATCCCGGAGAACCTGTTCGAATATCGTCGGAATCTCCCGTCACCGGAGCACCTTCTCTCTGGCAACAAGCTCCGAGATACGATGCCGATCTACGTGTCCCACTCCAAAACCTCTCGATGGTCAAAATGAGGATGGATTCTCTACAAGATTTCCTCTCTCAATCGGTCAACACCAACACTTTGATCTCCAAACATCAAATGGGTCTCGTCTCCTCCGAAATCGCCGCCGCCGTCCACCAAATCATCGTCAACGGTGCCGCTCTCCTCTCTTGGGCCCAAAAGGTCCATTTCCCGAATCCAACTCCGGTTCCAAACCCGACTCCGGAACCGCTGAAATCCAAGTTCAACGACTACGACGAAGGAGATTCCGATGTAATCGAGCTAGACGCTGTCGAATTGCTCGCGGAACATTTACATTTCTGCGAAATTTGCGGCAAAGGTTTCAAACGCGACGCGAATCTACGGATGCACATGAGGGCTCACGGAGATCAGTACAAAACTACGGAAGCGTTGTTGAAGAAATCGGAAGTGAAGAATCCGGGTCGGAGTACCCGGTTTTCGTGCCCGTACGAGGGGTGTAATAGGAACAAGAAGCATCTCAAGTTCCGGCCGTTGAAATCCGTTATCTGTGTGAGGAATCATTTCAAGAGAAGCCACTGCCCAAAAATGTATAGCTGCAATAGGTGTCATAAGAAGAGTTTCTCTGTATTGGCTGTTTTGAAGGCTCATTTGAAGCACTGTGGCGTCGATGAAGAGATCAAGAAGTGGAAGTGTAGTTGCGGGAACGGGTTTTCCAGGAAAGATAAGCTCTTCGGACATATATCGTTGTTCGAAGGTCATATGCCTGTGGTCGAGAAGGAGCCAGCTGTGGCAGCGGCAGCAGAGGATAGGAAGTTGAAAGGTGTGTTGGATATGGAGGAAGATGAAGATGACTTGATGGAGAAGGAAGATTGTTTAGAAGATAGTTTATTTGATGATTTGCTTCATGAGTTTGGGTCTTTTGAGAATTACAGTTTGGAGGATATGTTCTAAATTTTTTTTGCAACAGTATTTGGTTTTAACTCTTGCAATAATCTCTGTTGTAACATATTACAGTGTTAGCTTCTAGTGACAATAAATTGTTCTTTCAAATCGATGCTTCGATTAGGACAAAAATTAACTGGAAACAAGATCATGCCCATTTTTCAATTTCGTTCTACGATTCAATAAACACAAACATGACGATATGAACACGAACAACAAATCATCGAATTAAAAATACCAAGAAAGGAGAGAATTACAGCAACAAAAATGCATCGTTCGACATGCTTTCAAAGGAAATCTTTACCTCATCTTCCACCGGATAACTCAATCGCGTCCTGATTATATAATGAATCTTCTCCCCATTCAAACCTCCTTTGAAGTCTTTCATACTCTTGCCTACGGGTAACTTCAACATGCTGCCATTCTTCCCATCTCTCGGCCAGCCCCTCCCCTTCCAACATCCTTACCACCTCCGACATTGCTGGACGCTCCTCGGGTGAAGATTGGGTACAAAGCAATGCAACTTGGATCATTGCCTCGACCTCCTCGATGTTGTAGTTTTTATTAAGGTTCCGGTCTACGATAGCATCCAGTTTTTTCTCCCTTTCCAGCTTCTTGACCTTCACAAACAAACAGCAAGCAGTTCCGTCAAGGCTTGCACTTGGGCATATACAAAAGCAAACATGGGAATAGATTTTGAGTTATCTTACATGATCAAGCAGCAAAACATCGTCTTCTTCTTCTAAACGTGAAAAGTCGATCGCACGTTGACCTGTTACAAGCTCTAGAAGCATAATCCCGTAACCAAATACATCTGTCCTTTCTGATGACTTCCCAGTGGACAAGTACTCGGGTGCTATGTGACCCATTGTTCCACGAACTTGAGTCGTAACATTTGTCCGTCTCACATCCACCAACTTCGCAAGGCCAAAGTCACCAACAACGGCTTCAAAGTCTTCATCCAATAATACATTTGCTGCCTTAACATCCCGATGAATGATCTTTGGATTGCAATGTTCATGAAGATATTCCAGCCCTCGTGCTGCACCCAAGGCTATTTTTTTTCTTGTAGGCCAATCTAAAACAGGTTCGCCGGGTTTGAGCTCTGCAGTGGTTCCATATATTAATCACACATTATACAAGGGCGGTATAAATGAATTGTTGGACAACTAGTTTCTTCAGAAATCTCAAGACCAAGAGCTTAATTATCTGTAACAAAATCATGTTGAATGAAATTCTTGAATAACTAGTACCTCTAAGGCGATAGGCCACACTTAAATTCTCCATAAATGGATAGACCAAAAGGCGTTCGGTTGGAGTTGTGCAAAAGCCAATCAACCTTAAGAGATTCCTGTGAACAGCTACACTTATCATCTCGACTTCACGTTGAAAAGCCGCATCTCCTCCGGGACTTTCGAAATCAGTTAATCTCTTAACTGCAACTTTTGTGTTATCAGAAAGAACACCTTTATAAACCTTCCCAAAACCTCCTTGTCCAAGGATATTCTTTTCGCTGAAGCTGTCGGTAGCCAATTGTAATTCCCTCCATGCAAACCTTTTCAGTTGACCAAAAGCAATTCTTCGGTCGACTTCACCTGCAACATCTACAAATATGTCGCTCCTGTAGCCTTTCCGGCGACCCTTGCACAGGAAAAACAGCAAAGAACCAAAGATAAGAAGAATTATAAACCCGCTCAGGATTCCAACTATAATTCCAACCTTCGACTTCCGCGAAGAACCTGCAAGCAAAGAGAAATCTCTGAGATAGCTGGTCAAATTATGGCAAGTATTCTTAAATGGGGTATCTTTGAAACCATTGAACACTACTTGAAATAGTTAATCCAATTACCTGAGTCATTTCCGTTAGATACACATCTCTGCGGGAAAGTTCCACCACAATTTAACCTGTTTCCTGTAAAACTGAAATAAATAAAATTGTGTTTAGCTTCAATTCACTGCAGATAAATATTTGTGAATGATATGTAAGGTGAATGGCCATTCACAATATTTTTATTTCTTCGTATTAAAATCGGAAATGAAACGAACTAATCAAAGACGCCCATACTTGTAAATCGGAATGTGGAATAAATCATCTGGAACTTGACCACTAAGATCATTTGAATCGAGCAGACTGCAGAAACAAATTAACCATGCCATCAGTGACATTACAAAATGTGAAGCGAAATAACTCATACGTTCAAGTTTGAAACTTTACAAACTTGGAACTCATCAACCATTTCATCCAAAACTCAAGGTGTAGTCAATGAAATGCTGTTATTCCGATGCATTCGGATAGCAGTCAGCATTTAATACTTACAGATTGATCAGCTTTGGAAGATCTGAAATTGACGAAGGGATAGTTCCACTAAGATTGTTCTTACTCAGTGTCCTGCTTGCATGAAAGAACGAATGCCTTACAATGAACACATGACATGGAGAAATAAATAAAAGCCTCAAACGAAATAAAATAAACAACGTTACTTACAGGAATTGGAGACTCTTAAGATTACCAAGGGAAGAAGGTATCTCTCCAGTTAAACGATTATTTTCCAAATCTAAGCTGGTCAGGCTCAACAAGTTCCCTATCTCCTTTGGTATCTCACCAGTTATACCATTTCCTTTCAATGTACTGTATGACAAACACACGGAATACGGAAATGCGTTAACACAAAAAGATTCACCCCAATGCTATAATGAACCGTACACTTAAGTGCAGCACTGGCAATAAAGAGTTTTGAAAGTGGAAATCAAGAAAATGACCTCAGGAAATGTCTACGAATGAAGAACATAAATTACAGAAATATACTGTTTGATTGAATATTTGTATGCTTACTACTTACAGTGATGAAAGATTCGTTAGAACTCCTATTTTAGGGGACAATGTACCGGAGAAGTTCATGGATGACAGTGTCCTGAAAGCACAGTTATGATATATAAGGATAACAACATATTTATATAAGTACATAAACAACTGAATCATGTACGCATACATTTGTGAGTTGCGACTATGAATCATAGTCAAGGAGGGAAAAAAGGTACACTAATTACTTACACGGAAATGACATTATTACTAGAATCACACATAACATTTGACCAGGTGCAAGGATTAACTTGATCGGGATTCCAATCTCTCAACTGATCAGGCGAGGCATGGAGTGAAGTCTTCAATGCAAATAAAGCGTCTCCTGAAAGAGATGATACGAATAGTCGAATATTCATAATCCAATTAAGAACAACTAATCCCTCAGGCCAAACCAGGCCTAAATAATTAGAATGTAAAATCAATATACGGGATAAAAAAAGGATATCATCTAGGAATATTATCTCACTATTCCGCTCACACATGCATAGAAATCCATAAGTTTGATGAAAACAGAAAAGGTCCAACAAAGAATAACTGTGTACCTTGTAAATTAGCATATACAAAAGAAAGACAGCAAGTCAATATTAGAAAACCACGATATAGTTCCATCTTCAGCAAAGTCAGTCCCAATGATCAATGCCATGTGATATAAAATCTTACGAGCATAAAAGTGACTTCCATCTCTGCAAAAACATTCAAGTGCAAAGGCAGCGAACGCTATTAGCATATCGGTTAATTATGTTTCTCTGACCTTTGATTTTCCTAAAGTACTTAAGTCAAACACATATTTGACACCTGAAAACAGGCTCATGGTCGATATTCTGTAAAAAAAAGACTCCCAGATGAACAAGTTTGCGTTAGGACAAGCACCCAAACGCGAAAACTAGATACCTTCAAGCACCACCTCTTGTCCCCTTGACTTGCATCAATTATTTTACAGCATTTCTAGCACTTTCTATAAGCTTCGATGGGGAGGGAGGAAATGGCCTGAAATTTAATTTTGACTTAAATTTCAGTGACATTTTCTTACAAAATTTCACAATCATCATTTTCATTGACCGACTCCCAAAGCACTTCACTTTTACAAAATTAGTTTTTCCCCCTTTCTTTTCATTTAGTGAAGAGTAACACTGGAAAGAAAACTAACAGCCAATGAACAATGGAAAAGCTATTCCAGCAGCTGCAGCCATTACCAGGCTCACAAACCCCGGATAACAAGACATCCTTGCAAAATCACTCTGATTAGATCCAATTTGATTCAAAATGCATGAAAGGGAAATGTCAATATTAAGCTACGATGCACTGGAGATTTAAAATTAAATCTTCGTATAATTGTTAATTAAGCTAAAATACGAAGTTACTAATAAACTGTAATAAATATAAAGTAGCAACAGCTTCTCCATCAAACCCAAACAATAGTCCAATATGCTCAAAAGTCACCCTTCCAGAGTGTAAAGCAGTAAATGCAGGTTTTGACATTCAGTACTAGGGAAATAAATGAACTAACCAAGGAATTCCAATTCAAACAACAACATGGAAAATAGCAGCTAAAATGGTTTACAAGCTACAACATCAAAACCCAACACCAACAAGAGAGGCACGAACTTGACCAAAACCCAATGAGAAAACAATAAGAATTTAGTCCCTCAAAAAAATCCAATTCTTAGAATCTCAAGAAATAAAAAAATAAAAAATGGGTTTTGAAGAAAGTTGCTTACCTTTGAGAAAATAATCAATTTGTAGAAGAAAAAGAGATGGGGCTTTTCATTTGAGACGAGTCATGAAATTTCAAGAGTGAAAGAATCAAGCTTTGATTCTCTTTTAATCTGTAAATTAGAAGGAATGAGCTGGTTTAGTGAAAGAGAGAGTATACTTATTTTTCTTTTGCTTTTTAAGAACAAAAATCTAATAAGAAGCATAAATGTATTACTTTCTTTAGTTATTGTCTTGATTTTTTAACTATATAATTATTACTTTCTTTCTTTTTTTAGAGTAGAATCTGGTAATGCATATATGTATATGTCTTGTTTTATTTTATATGGTACATATTAGTAGTAGTGACGGATCTAGAAATTTAAAAATGAGAGTCTAAAATTTTAATTTTCTTTTCTTAAAAGTAATGGGTATACAAAAAATGTAATTTTTTTCTTAACACATTAAATTAAATTTAACCAGATTTTCAAAATAAGAGGATGCACTTGGCCCCTACCACTGGTTAGTAGTGGGCATGATAAATTTCTCTTAAATATGATTTGATAAGATTAATTTTGTCAATTAAGATCTTAATGTAAGTCCAAATAATTTTTTTTAATTCTTTATAAAATTTGTTACACTTTTTTTGATATATTTTTTAAAAAATATTAATATTTCAATTGAATCATATTTTTATTATATTATATTATATTATATTTATAGTCAAAAAATTAATAATAAGGTAAGTATAATATAATATTTGTTCAAAAATAACTCTCAAGCATTTGATATTAAATGTTCATACCCTCGATATTCATGGTGTTCGAACCCAAAACCTCAAAAAATAATAACAATTTTTTAATACTAAAGTCTCTTGATTAATGCTTAAATTACAAATTAAGCAAAGATAATCAAAGATTCATCTTTCAAATACTATAGATTATTTTTATCATAATTATATTGATAGTTATTAAAAAAATTATCATTAGTCATTAGAAAAATAACCTTTTTATTAATTTAAAATAAATATAAGAATATTTATTTAAAAATAATTTTTAACCATTTTTAATCTTTCGACTGTTTTTTTTTTCTTATATTTTATTTTAATTTTCTACGTTATCAAATATTTGTGCTTATCGTAATCATGCCTTATTTGTTTTTTTATGTAATATTCTGTCTTATTTGTTGAAAATAACAAAACAATGGCATTATTATAAACATCTATAGTAAGTATATTATTTAATTATTATCACAACATAAACTGGCATCAACCCAATTGCAAGATTAATAAATGAAATAAATAATTATTAATAGGATAAGAGCAATGTTCTTTTTTAAAGTTTAAAAGACTAGTTTATTTCAAGTGTTTAGCTTTAGTAATTATATATACATAAATACTTGTTTTAAAAATTATATTATAAAAGAAAAATAAGTTAAGTTAGATAATATTTAAATCAGTGAATATTACAATTTATAAAATATTAAAATAAAATATTTTCAAACAATTAATATAATTTATTTATAAAATTTAATTTAAGTATATAAGCCATATATAACAAAAGGTATTACGTAGATTAAAACACGTCCTTATATTCATTAATTTACGAGTGATGGAATTTATGTTGCAAATACAATGAGGTATTTAATGAATATTATTATATTAGTTGTTTTTGCTAATACAAGAATATAAGAGAAAACGAGCCTACATACTTGGTTTGGCCTCCTGCAGTATTAATGTTACGGCCTCTGTTAATATATTATTAAATATAAATTCTACATTTTTTTTATTTTTTTTATTTAACTAAAAATATTACAAAGTAATACATGTTCTAAATACTATTCACTTGACAATTAACGCTCAGTCACCCTTACAATTGCTGGTGCTCGAACTCATTACTTCCATGAACGTAACTCTAATAGAAACAATAATGACATTATTTAACAAACTTAGATGTTTAAATTTATGTTTATCATTGCTTTTTACAAGAAGGGTGATTCAATTTATTAATTTAGATCAAATTCCATAAAAAAATATCTAAATAAAAATAATAGAATAAATAACTAATATTTATATTTATTTTCCAAAATTGACTACCAAAATTTTTCTATCTGTTTTTTAAACTTTATGAAATGATTAATTTTTAGAAGGATGATATTAAATGGGTCACCTACATAATGAGTATATGAAAACTGTTGTTTGAGTTGAAATTATTGTTGTTTAAAGGACATAAATGTACCAGCAACCAGTTGATTTAGTGGGATGAGATATTATGTTCTTTAAGTAAGGTTAGTGTTTGAATTCTGACGTTTGTGAATTGAGCAAACTGAGTTGGGAGAATCACTCTAGCCTCTTTAGTATTCGATCTCGATTAATCGATCAATAGATAAAATATCAGTAATTAATTAAAAAAATACATAAATGTTATTTGAATTTTCTATTTTCTTGTCGGCCCAGTGGTTGTTAAATCTTAATTATGACACTCTTGAGAATCATAAATGTCAATACAATCATAAGAGAATTTTAAAAATATTTCAACCACTAATATATATATATATATATATAATAAATCCAAATCTATTACTAAAAAAATTTAGCAAGTCTAAAAACTGGGTTTCAAAATTTATAAAAAAACAATCCAAAAAAAACTTTAATAAATTAAAAAATAAAAATTAATAAGATTTTATTATTTTTTAAACGTTTACATAACATAAATAAAATAATTAAAAACACTACTAAATAATCAAACAAGAGATTGATAAATTTATATACGATTTATTTGTCACTTTCATGTGACAAAATATAATATTATGTGACCCAAAATGATAATACAAACAAAATATATAGTAAATTTCTTAAATCCAACACAATACAAATTACTAATATATCAAAATTTTATATAAAATGTAGATAGACAAATCATCAAATTCATATATAATTGAAATACCAATTTCAGACCCCAAAAAAGAATTGTCAACTTAGAAAAAATATTAGGTATAAAAATTAATATAATAAATAAACATTTTTTTATTAAATTAGTAATTAACGATGAGAATGAAAAAAGAAATTAAACAAAGGAGAACAACACTTTTTTGTACTTCTAAAGTCGCTCGAAAGATTTTAAATAAATAATTTAAGATTTTAAGATTTAATATTAAAATAAATAATTTATATATTAAATAATAACACTTCAAATAAAGTATACGAAAAAAAGGAAATTAAAGAATGAAATTAACCTAGATTTGAGTCGTAATTTGTAATTCGAAGCGTTTTGTATCAAAGACAACTTTTTTGGGTAAAATTCACAAATGATCCCCGATTATAGGACACTACTTTATTTAGTCATCCGCCTATTAAAAAATACAAAATGGTCACCTGACTATTTATATGTTCCAAATTCGTCGTTTTCTTTTTAAAATGGACAGCCGTCTGAGCTGGACGTTAACCTGATGATTGAGATATGTGATAAATATGATTCCAAAATTGTTTTAGATATGTATCGACTCTCTGTTTTCATTATGTCATCGAGTCAATACTTAAAAGCAACGACAGTAACAATAGACATCATTAGAATATGATTTTTATCATAACTTATTCAACATGTAATGTTCAACTTAGGCGACCAATAAATTTTTTAATATAAAAGGACGAGCTTAAAATACTTAAATGGTCGAGAGATTCAATAAAATAATATTACCGAGAAACCTTTAGTATACCATACCGTTTTCTTTTCTGCTAACAAGAATGGCACAACAGTTGCAATGAAAATTGGTGAAAACATGTGGTCATAATAATAATATTAAATCAAAAGTGAAGGGAAAGGCGGTTAGGAGCAATCAAAGGGGTGAAGCATGTGTTGTGAGCTTCTTATTGAAGCTTTAATGGTGGACTAGTCAATAAAAGTCAAACCTCATAATATAATGGACATGGTCCCTCCACCACTTAATTTGTGCAGCCACTCATGGTCAACATATTAAATTTATATTTCCAAACTCATTATTCTATTTTGAACTTAAATGCTATATTTAATCTTGCTCCAATACTTCACAATTATTAACTATATATTCATAAACAATTCGAAGGATAAATAAATATATTAATAATAAAATAATTTAAATGAACTATATATTTAGTATTTAACTATCATTTTTATTCGATTTTGGTCATTCAACTATTTTTTATTTTAAAATTTTACTTTATATTATATTTTGATTTCGTTTTGGTCATCTATTATTAAAAAATTAACAGAACTATTGAAATGATATTTTTAAAAGATTTTCAATGATGACACGATATTATCTTATAATGACACGTCAATGTCAACGTCATTGTTAATTTTTTAACAGCGGGGGACCAAAATAAAATTAAAACATAACGTTAGGCATGATTTTAAAAATAAAAATTAGTTGAATTATCAAAACAAAATAAAAGTGATTGTTAAAGCAGTAAATATATAGTTTAGTCTAAAATTTTATATGTAGATAGGCCAAATAAATAAACAACAAAGCAAATAAAAATCAATTTTTACAGTGTGCATTTATTCTCCCTAAATACCATGTACATCCGTCACCGAATTATCTGAGGAGAAAACTTGGAGATTTTCAATAAATAGCCAACTAACGAATCAAATTAAGCTAAACAAAACAAATAATTAAAACTTATTAAGAAAAAATTTGATGCATAGATGATAAATCACAATTGCTGGTAGTAACAAAATTTTCCCAAGTATGAAAATGGAGTGAATCCCATCTTTTCCACACTGAAAAAACAAATGCTGAAACTCAAACCAACGCAGTTGTTGAAACAACACTTTGCTTATTCTCATCATCAATTCTTATCTAATTCAACTTCGAACTACCTTAACTGTCACTTAGACTCCTTCCTCTCCTCCAACGCTTCTTCTTCATCTCTCCGATCCCTTCTTCAATCCCATGCTCTCATTATCGCCACCGGCAACTCAAACGACAACATTTTCATATCCTCAAAGCTCATCTCTTTGTACGCCTTTTTCAACAAACCTCGTCGTTCCACCAGGGTTTTTGAGTCAATTCCCATCTCGAAAAAGGATGTTTTCCTTTGGAATTCGGTCATCAAATCCCATTTCTCCACTGGGAACTACTCTGAATCTTTTGGGTACTATCTTAAAATGAGGTTGTCCAATACTCTTCCTAATGATTTCACTATCCCCATGGTTGTTTCCGCTTGTGCTGAGCTGAGGTGGGACGTTTGTGGCAGATATGTTCATGGGTTGGTCTTGAAATCTGGTCTTTTCGTGGTGAATTCTGCGGTTGGGTCCTCTTTTGTGTTTATGTATGCAAAGTGTAGTTCAGCGGGGGATGCTCGTCTTGTGTTCGATGAAATGATTGTTAAAGATGTGGTTACGTGGACGGCTCTTGTAATTGGGTATGTACAAAATGGGGAAAGTGAGAAGGGTTTGGAATGTCTTTGCGACATGCATAGAGTCGGAGAGGATGGTGAAACGAGGCCAAATTTTAGGACATTGGAAGGTGGTCTTCAGGCTTGTGGAAATTTGTGTGCTTTGGACGAGGGCAAGTGCTTACATGGTTTTGTGGTGAAAACTGGACTTGGGTTTTATCCGCTTGTTCAATCTTCGATTTTTTCTATGTATTCTAGGTGTGGGAGTGTTAGGGATTCATCTGCTTCATTTTGTGAAGTTGTTGATAAAGATATTATCTCATGGACATCGATTATCAGTGTGAAAGCTAGATTTGGGTTTATGAAGGAATGCTTAGATATGTTTTGGGAAATGCAAGTTGATCGTTTACGTGCAGATGGAATTTTGATTAGTTCCATTGTTTCAGGTTTCGGAAATTTCATGAATGTACGTGAAGGGAAGGCATTTCATGGATTGATCATAAGGAGGAATCTTTTGTTAGATAAGCTGGTTCTTAATGCACTTTTATCCATGTACTGCAAGTTTAGACTCCTATCTACCGCAGAGAAGCTCTTCAACATAATAGGTTACAATAGAAAAGAGTCTTGGAATATAATGGTTCATGGATACTGTAAGACGGGACAAGAAGCAAAAGCTATAGAATTGTTTAAGAAGATGCAACAACATGGGATTGAGGTTGATTCAAACAGCCTGGTTTCCGTTATCTTTTCATGTTCTCAACTTGGAGCAATCCGTGTTGGCCGCTCGCTTCATTGCCAGATAGTTAAAAGTTACATGGCTGACAACATTTCGGTTGCTAATTCTCTCATAGATATGTATGGGAAAAGTGGAAACTTGACCATTGCACGGAGGATCTTTAATCAAACGCAGAGAGATGTTATCACATGGAACACAATGATGTCAGCCTATTCTTGTTCTGGACATTTATCTGAGGTTATTGCCTTGTTTGATCAAATGCTTTTGGGAAATTTGGCGCCCAACATGGCAACATTGTTAACCGTGCTTTCCGCTTGTTCTCATCTCGCATCATGGGAGAAAGGGGAAAGGATTCATTGTTACATCAAGGAAGGAGGCTATGAGCTCTGTCAATCTCTTGCTACTGCGTTGATTGACATGTACGCAAAGTGTGGGCAAATAGAGAAATCGAGAGAGCTATTCATCTCAATGAAAGAGAAGGATGTAGTTTCTTGGAATGTGATGATTTCAGGTTATGCGATGCATGGAGATGCTAAATCAGCACTACAGATTTTCCAGCAGATGGAAGAATCAAATGCTAAACCGAATGATGTTACCTTTCTTTCTCTTCTCAATGCTTGTTCTCATGCAGGCCTTGTAAAAGAAGGGAAGTTTTTATTCGGTAGAATGGAACATTATTCCATAAAGCCGAATTTGAAGCATTATGCTTGCATGACAGACCTTCTTGGCAGATCGGGTAATCTTCAGGAAGCTGAAGCCCTGGTTATGTCAATGCCCATCTCTCCTGATGGGGGTGTCTGGGGAGCTCTGTTAAGTGCTTGTGTTGTTCACAATGAAAATGAAATGGCAATAAGGATAGCAAAGCGAGTAATTGATTCTGATCCCGAGAACGATGGCTACTACATATTGATTTCCAACGTGTATACTTCTATGGGGTGGTGGGAGGAGGCACAGCGGACCAGAGAAATGATGAAGGAAAGAGGTGTAGGAAAAAAAACTGGTTGGAGTGCAATATAATAGATCAATTTAATCTCTCTTTCGAATTTTTTTAGCCTATTAACAATGCTAGTACATCCTACCTAGGTAGATATTCAAATCCAAATTCTTCTTTTTACCGCTTAAACTATTCAATGTGTTCATTTTTGTTCTATAATAACAATTGAGAAAATTCTAGTACGAACTAAAAAAAATTTAGAATATGATTTTGATCTATCATTGCATCACTTGGGTATTGACTCACAGGACAAGTGCAAGAATCTTGTTTTTCGGAAAGTTTTAAAAAGAGAATCTATCACAAAACAAGAAAGATGGTGACCAACTAATATATTATACGAAGGATTTTGATTAAAAATAAATAAACAGAACACAAACATAATGGATTGACACCAACCATAAACCAGTATTAATTCATATAAAGGAGACATTTTTGACATTTACTTCCCATATCTAGAAAAAGTGTTTACCTTTCATTGGTCCACCTGCAAACGCTAAACAAAAACCACCAGCCAACTCTTCAATTTATAGGTTTTCTCACCTAGTAAAAAATGGAGTTCGTTCTTTCTCTTCCATGATTCTGTCTCGCAAACAAATCAAAAAACCAAAACCCAGATCGAATTCTGGAGCAAGCAACAACTTCATAACATGGTTAAGTGTTTCAGCTTCACTGCAACGCGGGATTCGTGCTTCCGCTACAGCTTCTCCAACGCCGGTCTCCGTTCATCGACGACGGACCTCGGCGACGGCACCGTCATGCACGCGTGGGTCCCGAAATCCCATTCCCAATCGAAGCCGACTTTAGTCCTCATCCACGGCTTTGGCGCCAATGCGATGTGGCAATGGAACGACTTCGTTTCGCCTCTCATCTCCCGCTTCAACGTCTATGTCCCGGACCTCCTCTTCTTCGGAGACTCCTACACGACCCGACCCGAAAGGACGGAGCAATTCCAGGCCCAGTGCGTGATCCGGGTCATGGAGGCCCTTGGGGTTGTCACTGCAATGAACGTTGTCGGGATCAGTTATGGCGGGTTTGTGGGTTATAGTATGGCGGCGCAGTTTAAAGAGAGGATTGAGAAGTTGGTGCTATGCTGCGCTGGGGTGTGTTTGGAAGAGAAAGATATGGAAGAAGGAATGTTTAAAGTGAAGAGCGTGGATGAAGCTGTTGATATTTTATTGCCACAAAAGCCAGGTAAGCTTAGAGAGTTGATGAAGATTTCGTTTTACAAGCCTACTCAAAGACTTCCCTCTTGCTTTCTAAAGGATTTCATCCATGTGAGTTAAGTTACTCTACTTCATCATATCATTAATTTTTTATTCAATCGCGATTAAAAGTGAAATACATTGACATCCCACACATGATCGAACCCTGTATCTTTACAAGAGTAATGTTTGTCTTGGCGAGGAAGCAGTAGTATTCTATTACAGTGCAACTGGCTTGAGTTTATGTTGGGAATTCAATTTTATTGGCAGGTGATGTGTACAGAGTACTTTGAAGAGAGAAAAGAATTGATCCTAGCACTACACAAGGACAGAAAATTGTCAGATCTTCCGAATATAACCCAGGTTCTCTCATGTTATTTTTTTTCTTCTTGAAATATTGGTGCCTATTTAATACATATCTGACCATGATTATGATCTTTATAACCCAAGGTTGTTTTTTTCTTATGTGTTATTTGAGCCTTTACATATTGTTTCTATTGTGCAGCCAACAGTAATAATCTGGGGAGAGCACGACCAAATATTCCCTTTGGAATTGGGATACAGATTGAAAAGGTCAGTCATTCTCAAGTACTAAGCAAGCATCAGTACCTCAATATCTCTGTTAAATTCTTCAGTTTTCTCTCAAGCATCCGTATTCGTCACAAATCTAAACTTGGGTATAGAGATAAAACGTTCCAAAAAGCTGAAATGTAGCTAAAAATTGACCTTGTTGTGGCCGGAGTATAATGGTGATGTAATGCAGGCATCTGGGAGACAATGCAGAACTAGTGATCATAAAGAATGCAGGTCATGCCCTCAATGTAGAGAAACCCAAAAAGCTATACAAGCACTTGAAATCTGCTCTTATTGATCCGATCTTTCCGGCTAAACCGGGACACTATAGCAATGGCAGCACAACAGGTTGAAAGGTATGCAAAAAACTAAATTCAGCAATTGCTGGTGTCTTAAAATTTCCTTCATTTAGAGATGTGTTTAATGTAGGAAACAAACTTATAAAGTCCAGTATTACTTGGGCTTTTCAGGTTCTTTTCCCCTGTAAGATACAGTTATTTGATAGATTTGAACATGAGTACAAAGATACGATGATGTGATAATATAAAATGAAATTATGAATTTATTTAAATCCGACAATCACACATGATTCTTATTAATCGAGACATGGAGAACTTCAATGAATCTGTCGAAATTATTGTAAGAAGATCCTCTGACATCAGTGGCCACTTCAGCTTTGTGCTTCCAATCCAGGGCCTTTTTCTTCATCTTCTTCCCATGTTCACCTCCTATCATTTCCTTCACAAGAGCCTCAACATCATTTCGGTTTACATCAGGGTTAACTTCCATACCAATTCCCCACGTGGTGCATGCAAATCGACAATTCGTTTGTTGTTCGGCAAAGAAGGGCCAACAAAGCACAGGCACACCTCTCGAAATGGATTCCAACGTCGAGTTCCATCCACAGTGCGTGATAAAAGCAGCGACGGATTGATGGGACAACACTAGATCTTGCGGACACCAGCTCCCAATGAACCCTCGATCCTTGATCTCCTCGAAGAACTCTTCGGGAAGAACAGCCGATTCCCCCATCACGACATCGGGTCTCACGATCCATAAAAACGGGTGCTTGCTGTTTGCAAGCCCCCACGCGAACTCTTTGAGATGATAATCAGACATCACAGTTATACTCCCATAATTCACATAAACCACGGATCCGGGTTCCCTTTGATTCAGCCATTCAATGCAGTCGGTGTCTTCTTTCCACAAGCTCGATCTCAGCGAGCTTAATTGGCTTTCAGGGACATGTCTGCCAAGCAAATTCAATGGACCCAATGTATATATACGAGGGAATTTGGCTACAATGGCGTCCAACACCTCATGCTCTAACTCATCGAATGTGTTGAAGATGATTGTTGAAGATTTTAAGCAGTTTCGAGCTTCGGATCCCAAGAAATCAAACATTGTATCATTGGGATCCGTTGTTCTTATAAAGCTTGGGATATCCTTGAGTCGCATGTTACTCATACCAGGGATCCAATCTATTGGTGTGTCGAGAGTGCCATCATTGATGAAATTTTCGTCTGAAAAATAAATCTTATATGACATGAATATGATATAGATACACAAATGTTTAATAATCTTTTCTAATATGAATTATTAACTTAAACACGATTGTCATATGATAAAATATACAAATTTAGTTATTAAAAAATATATATACAAATTTAGGGATATGTTACCTTTGAATGGAACAATGCCTCTTTGGAGCAGTTCATCATACTGTAAATAACCCATGAAACCACAAGCTGAGGCAGTCCAAAACTGGAATTCAGGTATCCCAAGCAATCGACCAGCTTCAATACCAAAGCTCATAACACCATCTGAGATGATGCAACCAACAGGCGGTACATCCGAAGAGTTCAACTTAGCTAAAAGCTCCAAAAACGGCACCAAGCAATTCTTCCTCGTCGAATCGCATAACGAGGGAACATCCTGAGTTGCGTCTCGTTCGGACTGCGGTAGACCGTCGGGTATTGATTCGAACCGGAAATCCGGCAACCCTTTCATGGCTTCAGCACCTTTGGATCGAACCAGGCGTCTATGGTTGAACTCAGTGTTGACGAAGGTTATATGGAAGCCTCTAGAGTGTATGAGCTTAGCTAATTGCATCATTGGGTTAACATGACCTTGTGCAGGAAATGGAATACAAACAACGTGGGGTTTTTTTGCTTCACTTGAATCCATCTTTGAAGAATAATATGAGAATGAATCAAAGCTTATAATTTAAGCTCGTAAATAAACTTCCTAGTTTAAGTTTTAGAAGCTTAATGCGTGGGTGTATACGGTCTGTTTTTTTTTCAAATTAATTTTGTATTTTTAGTTTATATATATATATATATATATATTTGAATCAATCACTGATATCTGATCTATTAATCGACTAATCCAGATCGGGTATTGTAGAGGTAAGGGTGACCCTTCCAACCCAATTTGCTCCATTCGTAAACGTTAAGATTCAAACCTTTGAATTTTTATATTTTGCATAACTATAAACAATCTTTCCAATCTAATTATTTTTATCTATAACATTAAAATTTAGACTATAATTATCTAATACTTTATCTTATCACACCAACAGATAATTAGGGACAGGTAGACATCTTTCATCTTCGTTTGATTTTAAAAGCACATTTTGTGTGGATTCCATATCTTCCACAAGGCAACGTTACCAAATAGAATTTATTGGTGCACTTGCTGGTTCAGCTCTATGGTTCTAGTGGTACCAATCAGAGACTAATTGATGATTAAAACAACAAACAATATCTATTTATCATACATCTTTTCTAAAATATAGTCATCTATGCCATCCACTAAATGACTGGCTGTAATAGAGTGGTATCATCATGTGGATACTATTTCAAAGGCATAAAGATAACTTTAACGTCAGATATTTTCTCTAAAATATAGTCATCTATGCCAAGCACTAAATGACTGTCTGTAATAGATTGGTATCATCATGTGGGCACTATTTCATAGGCATAAAGATAACTTTAACGTTTAATGTTTATATACATATATATTTGCAAAAAGGTCGCTTTGTTTCCGTCGTATATGTTGTTTTCGTCTTTATCGTATTACTATATTAATTTAAGTTTGAAAGTTGTTCAATTGCCTGTTTAAAATATTTACTATTGTTTAGAGTTTTAAGTTAGGAGTTTAAGGTTTAGGGTTTAAATATTATGGAGTTAGAGTTTAGGGTTATAAGTTAGGGTTAGGGTATAAAATGATACAATTAAATAACTCTAAGAGCTAAATTGATGTAAAAATACGATAAAAATAAAAATGATAAATTATGTCTATTACAGGAGTATCAGTAACCCTTTATTTTATTTTTGTCATTTCTATTTTTTTATTTAACTTTGATTTTACTTTTAAAAAAATTGTTTTTTTACATCTACAAACCACTAATTTTAAGGTGAGTGACAGACAAATCATATGATAAATTTTATATATTTCATATAATGTAACATTATTATCTTGTATGTCAAGCCAATAAGTAATTTAAATTATAAAATATATAAAAACGTAAAAACAAAATTATATGAAATATACATATATTATTAGGTGAAATGACATATCAACGGAGTTAAATTTTTTGATACTTTAATCGATATCTATGTTAAAAAAATTAACGGTTGGACTTTTTTTACAAATTTAATGATAAGTTGAAATCTGTATCGGTATTTTCTAGAGACATCATTTGAAATTATAGGTGTTTAAACGGTTAGTTCAGCCATCGACTAAATCGAATTTTCATTAATTGAATTAACAAAAAAAAAAATCTTTAATCGTTAACCAAATCAATTTTTTTTTTTGAAAATATTAATTGAACTGAACAAAGTTCGGTTATTTCGGTCGGTTAATCGATTTTTTTTATATAATTTTTTTAATTAGATATTGATAATTTAATGAGTTTAGTGTGGTTAAAAAATAATTATCTTAATTAATGCGTTTGACCTTAAAATATGTATAATATATTTCATATTTAATAATTTCGGTTAATTCGGTAATTAACCGATTTCAAACTGATTTATCCGTTAACCGAATTTTTAAAAAATGTTAACCATTTTCTGACCTGACTAATTCGATGACCGAACGAATTAATGAACTAATTCGATTCGATCGTTTAATTCAGTTAAAATAAAAAAATAACGCCCGAGTTGAAAGCCTGGATTTGCTGCAACGTTTATCAGGTCTTTTGCGACGTATTCGAGAAAGGTCGCTGAAAGTCTGGGCTTGTTGCAGAATTTTCTACTAACGTCGCTAGAATTTGGGGTCTAGATTAGAGGGTTAAATGAGAAATCAGTCCTCGAACTATGGTGCTACCCTTAGCGACACTAGCGACGCCTCTTTGGACATTAATTTTTTTTATAAAAAAAAGAAATGAATAAATATATCTACATACAAACCCCATGGTGGGCCGTAGTTGTCTACTGAAGGAGGAAATAGGGTTTTATTGGACATTCTTATCAAGATAATATAAAATGAAATTACAAATATGTTCATATTGAACTTATTTAAATCCAACAATCATACGTGATTCTTATTCATCGAGACACAGAAAACTTGTTCAATGAATCTGTCAAAATTATTGTAAGAAGATCCTCCGACATGAGTGGCAACTTCAGCTTTGTGCTTCCAATCCAGGGCCTTTTCTTTCATCTTCTTCCCGTTTTCACCTCCTATCATTTCCTTCACAAGAGCCTCAACATCATTACGGTTCACATCAGGGTTAACTTCCATGCCAATGCCCCACGTGGTGCATGCAAATCGACAATTCGTTTGTTGTTCGGCAAAGAAGGGCCAACAAAGCACAGGCACACCTCTCGAAATGGATTCCAACGTCGAGTTCCATCCACAGTGCGTGAGGAAAGCAGCGACGGATTGATGGGACAACACTAGATCTTGCGGACACCAGCTCCCAATGAACCCTCGATCCTAGATCTCCTCGAAGAACTCTTCGGGAAGAACAGCCGATTCCCCCATCACGACATCGGGTCTCACGATCCATAAAAACGGGTGCTTGCTGTTTGCAAGCCCCCACGCGAACTCTTTGAGATGATAATCAGACATCACAGTTATACTCCCATAATTCACATAAACCACGGATCCGGGTTCCCTTTGATTCAGCCATTCAATGCAGTCGGTGTCTTCTTTCCACAAGCTCGATCTCAGCGAGCTTAATTGGCTTTCAGGGACATGTCTGCCAAGCAAATTCAATGGACCCAAGGTATATATACGAGGGAATTTGGCAACAATGGCGTCCAACACCTCATGTTCTAACTCATCGATTGTGTTGAAGATGATTGTGGAAGATTTTAAGCAGTTTTGAGATTCGGATCCCATGAAATCAAACATTATATCATTGGGATCCGTTGTTCTTATGAAGCTTGTAATATCCTTGAATCTCATGTTACTCATACCAGGGATCCAATCTATTGGTGTGTCGAGAGTGCCATCATTAACGAAATTTTCATCTGAAATATATATATATATATATCTTTTAAACAATTTCTATAGCTTAAAAATGGATAAAATACACGAGATTATGAATTTGTTACCTTCAAATGGAACAATCCCTCTTTCGAACAGTTCCTTATACTGCAAATAACCCATGAAACCACAAGCTGAGGCAGTCCAAAACTGGAACTGGGGTATCCCAAGCAAACGACCGGCTTCGATACCGAAGCTCATCACACCATCCGAAACAATGCAACTAACGGGCGGCACATCCGAACCGTTCAACTTAGCAATAAGTTCCAACAATGGAGCCAAGCAATTCTTCCTCGTTGAATCACATAACGAGGGGACGTCCTGCGTCGCGTCGCGTTCGGACTGCGGCAGACCGTCCGGTATCTTTTCGAACCGGAAATCCGGCAAACCCTTCATGGCTTCGGCACCCTTGGATCGAACCAGGCGTCTATGGTTGAACTTGGTGTTGACGAAGGTTATATGGAACCCTCTTGAGTGTATAAGCTTAGCTAATTGCATCATTGGGTTAACGTGACCTTGTGAAGGATACGGAATACAAACAACATGGGGTTTTTCAGTTTTAATTGAACCCATCTTGAAGAATAATATGAGAATGAATCAATGTGTATAACTTAAAGCCTGTAAGTAAACTTCTCAACTTATTGTGTATTTATAATAGGAAAGATGCTTAAAAGGTCCTCTGATGGAGGATAAGACAAAATTCGTATCGACATACAAAAGGCGACGAAAGATGCTTTAATCTTGGGCTCATTGGCTATTTAAGCATATGATTCAACCATATAAGCAACGGTGCTTATAAAAAAATTATTGAAGATTATTTAATTATAATTTATGAATATATTACATTATTAACTGGTTATTCCACATGCGTTTTTTAAAATATTTGAATGTTTAAAAAGGAAATCATCAGTACGTTAGTCAGCTTACATCTAGCGATTAAAAATGATTATTTTTTTGCCAATAATGGGATCTGAATCTAATTATATTATATTGTATTAAAATTCAGGATTTAAATTTAAAAACCGATTTCTAATTCTAATTGATTTTAATTTAATATATACTTTTATGGGAAAAACTGAAGAAAATATCTCAACTGGAACCAACTCCAATGGGGGTTGTAATGGCCAGAGCAGTGGTCTACTTCAGGTGAGAGTGTGGGTCGTAAATGAGGTAAGCCCATGATTAGGCCCAGTGTAAACGGAACTTAATGTCTGATATTACGTAACCCAATATCTTATACACTGAGAAATACTACGTGATTTTGATTATTGAATTAATAAAAATATTTAATTTTAGAAAATATATTAAAAATGTTGTTGATTTTGACCAATAGTTGATCGTTGATTATCTACTAACTTTTTATTATGAGATGTGGGGCTTGAATATAAATACTGTCAAATGTAAATTGTTTGCATCAGTTGGGATGCATTAAGGATAGTTGGGGTTTAAAATTGGAGTGCTCCTGGTTAGGTGTGTCGCTGGTTACTCGTTAGCCTTGTGAGAAGGATTGTCACAGTTTATTGAAATGCCTGAGGCGTAAGCTTGAGCTTTGGACGAAAAATAGGCTCAGTTACGCTGGGAGGTTACAACTCGTTTAATCAGTGTTGTTTAGCATCACTAATTTATGGAGCAAACAGCTTATCATTCTCAATGTTGTTGTGCCACGAATCGAACATATTTGCATAAGATTTTGTTGGGAAAGAAGAGGATATCCCTGTTGGTGGTGCCATGGTAAGTTGGAGTCAAATTTACACTCTTAAATGTGAAG